GTATCTATATTTAGGAGCAAGGGTTAGATTAATAAGTAACGTTGTTCTAGAAAGCAGTGTTAGTTTATAATATCTTGTGTAATAATTTACTATAAGTATAAGACCTTTTCTAGGTACTTTTTTAGAATATTTACTTTTACTTAATTAACTTTTTACTTATATAGTATAGTATTCTTAATATCTTTTTAAGTATAATATAACTATTTACTATAAGTATAAGACCTTTTCTAGGGTACTTTTCTTTTAAAAGTATTTACTTTTTTTAAACTAGCTTATTGTTTATATAAAGTAATATTCTTAATATTCTTTTAATTATTATATAACTACTTACTATAACTATAAGACCTTTTTAGGGTAGTTTCTTAACTTATACTACTTACTTATAACTATTTAATTAGATAATAAGTTTAAATATATAAGTAAAATATTTAAGAAAAATATATAGTATATATATCTATATACTAACTATATACTAGGCCTATTTTCTAGAATACTTTCCTTTTTTCTGCTTAAACTAACGTATATAGGATACATAAGACCTCTTAGACTTATAAGAAGTCTTATAAAAAGAACAAGTATACTTCTTTAATACCCCCTATAATAATTAATTAATATATATATATATAAATACTATAATAATTATTACTTACTAACTAAGGTATAAAAGAAGGCTGAAAGCTTTCTTCTAGAGCTGGAAGCTGGGTAGAAGGGGTTAAAGTATCTTCTTGGGGGGTAAAAGAAGATAGAATATCTTCTTGATACTCTATAAATTCAGAAAAAAGGTCGATAGGGGCAAGAGTAGTATCATTAGAAAGCTCTTGAGAAGGAGAATCTTGTACTACCTCTTTAGGAGAGATATAACTAGGAGAGCCTAAGAAAGACCTTAAGGAAAGTGCTAAGCTATTATTTAAATAATAACTTGTTAAGCAGTAAGGTCTATTACTAGTAAACTAGCCAAAGGAGTAAAAGAATCTATTATATTTAATATATAGAAAAAGGTATAATTTCTTAATCTAAGGACTATCTAAAATAAAAGGAGGATTTAAGAAGTATATATAGATATTCTTCTTCTTCTTCTTCTTCTTCTTTTCTTAGAATTCTTAGAAATAAAAGGGGATAAATATTTACCCTTAGTCTAGTTAAAAAACCTGATTTTTTCTAGTTCTAATGCAGGTCTTTATATATTACTACCTTGTATATATAGTAAAGTAGAAGTGCATAAGTAAGAAGAAAGTATAAAAACAATAGTAAGGTAGAAGTATATAAGTAAGAAGAAAGTATAAAAATAATAGTAAGGTAAAAGTATATAAGTAAGAGAAAAGTATAAAAACACTAGGATTTTATAAGTCTTTCCTATTTAAGTAAGTAACTTATTAGCCTTACTAATTACTACTTTAGGAAATATATAAGTTTTATAATAATTATAAGATTTTAAGTTTTTTATCTTTTTTTAAAAAAAAATATATATAATATAAGGTTAAAGTTAATATATATAGTAATACTAAAATAATAATTATATTTTAGTAAAGTATAGTACTTTTTTATATTAAGACTTATATTCTTTATTTACTTTAAATATCTTATAATATAATATTTTAAATATTTATATATTATAATATACTTTATATAGCTTAGAACTATATAGTATAGTTATAAGCTATATAATTCTATAAGGTTATAAGTTATAAGTTATAAAAAGATTAAGTAAAAGTAGTTTATAGTAGTATAGTATATATAATAAAACTATATATATAACTATATAGTATAGTTATAAATTATATAATTTTATAAGGTTATACCTTAAAAGTTATAAAAAACTTAAGTATAATTAGTTTATAGTAGTATAAAATATATAATATAACTATATATAGTTTATATTATACTTTAGATTATATACTTTATAAAGTTACTTTATAGAATTATTCTATATAGTAAAACTTATAAGAATTATATATAATATTTATATATAATAATACTATATAATAATACTTAGTAAAGTATTTTTAAAGTATAAATATCTTAATATCTATGTTCTTAAGATTTATATCTTTTTATTTTTTAATATCTTATTATATTATTAAGTATTACCTTATTATCTATAGATTATATTTATTAGTTATTATTCTAAGTATAGTCCTTTATAAATAACCTTTTTTAAGCTATATTATATTAATTATTAATAAAATACTAAATATATTCTTTATAGTAAGTACTTTAATATTTAAGAAGAATATAATTAGTTTATTTCTTTTAGCTAACTTTACTTACTTAGATAAAATTCTCTTTAACTCTTAGTATATTTTATTATTAGAAATACCTAGACTTTAATAATAAAGTTAACTACTATAATACCTTAAATCTTATAGTAAATAATAATACTAGTAGTAGTGTTATAGATATAGTTAACTTAATAAAAGATTCTAGTAGTTATATTTATTCTATTTATAATATATTATTAGAAGACTTAGAAAAAGAAGAAACTAAACAACAAGATTTACAAGACCAATAGAATATTAATACTTTAGAAATATTTAATCCTTATACTATACTATATAATATTATAATACAAGATAAAGATAGTATTATAAGTAATTCTTTAAAGCTACTATTATTTAAAGTATTTAATAATAAAATAAATAGTATTACTAATAATACTTATAAGGAATTTAAAGTAAGTAACTTATTAGTTTTTAAAATTATATATAATTAAAGATAAATTATAACTTATACTAATATATTATATAATAGAATCTTATTAGTAATACTATAGAGTATAGTATTAGTTATAATTATTATAACTAGAAAGAAAGTAGTATAAATAGTGTTTTAAATTATAATATTAAAGAAGTAAAAGAATACTATATTACTAATATTATTCTAAATACTTTTTATAGTAATAAGATTAGAAATCTTAGTATTAATAACTAAGTAACTAAGAGTAAATAATAATATAACTACTTTTAAATATATATAATATATATAAAGAAGTAATAGTATTAGTATTAATAAAATATTTTTTTAATATATAGATATATATATAAACCTACTAATATATTTTTACTTATATATTATTAGACTATAATATAAATATATATAAAAAGAATTAATCTTGTATTTTTTCTTTGTATTTTGTATAATATACAAAATATAATACATGTATTTATATTTGTATTATATTAGGTATAGGAAAAAATATAATATAAATATATATATTATATTGTACTAGAAAAAAAATACAAATACATACATTGTATTTATATTGTATTTGTATTATATTTTTTTTAATACTCTAAGAATAAGTAAGTTTATAATTTAGATTTAGTAAAAGCTATATATATAGTTAATATATATTAGTAATTTAGCCTAGTTATACTAGCCTTTATACACTATTTTTATAAGCTAGTTTTTATTAAAATAAAAAGGTATTCTTACTATATTCTAGTAGAAACATTTTTTTAAATATATAAATTAAAGTAGTTACATAACTACTTAATATAGCTTTTTTACTAGCTATTATAGATTTAATAAACGAAGTAAAGCTATAATAAGTAATATATAGTAATATAGTATAAAAGTAAAATATAATAGTAGAGTAGTAAAATAAGGTAAGTAATAATAAAAAGCTTAATAATTAATATAGAACAATAGATAGGTCTAGGTGTAAATAGTCTATTAGGGTTACTTCTCCTTATAGGAGGTAATAGGTAATAGAATATATACCCTTAGGTATATACCTAGATATATACTAATAAGGTTATCTATTATCCTACTTGTTTATTTACTATATAAGGCACTTGTCTTATAATATTTTAGTTATATAATTTCTTTTTATATAGCTTATAAAACCTATCTCTTTATACCTATTATTACTATTTTATTACTAGCTAGCTTCTCTAATGTCTTATTTAGTATTACTTTTATAAATCTATTAGCTAGGTTACTACTACCTTATATCTAGTATACTTTATAAATATTCTATTATTTATATAACTTCTATAATACTATAGTACTAACTATCAGCTTTTTTCTTTTAGTTATCTTAAGCTTAACAAGGTACTTATAGAGTAAATATAAGTCTATATAAAGGATAGTTAGTATTATAGGTATTATAATTAGTTAGTAACTTATTTACTTAAGCATCTTTTAGGTCTTAAGCTATATTTAAACCTAAGACTCTTCCTTTTTTTGCTGATAAGACTAGAACCAACCCCTTGTTTATCTAGCTCCCTTCTGTAACCTGCTCGAAAGGGAATCCTAACTCTGTCTAGGAGGTCAAATACCCCTTTGCCAAGCAACACGATGTTATAAAGGGCTATTCAATACCAGACATAGCCAAGATAAGCCTAGACTCTATTCGTGAGCTGAAAAAACTGGTTTCCGGGTTCAAACCTCTCCTACAAGCAGGCCTCAGTGCTGGGGCGCCTATGGCCATCGAAGTGGCGCGGCTGATTGAAGCCGAGTCACCCGGCGACTCTGGCGGCCTTGTTCTCGTTCTCTTTGATCCGTCACTTACGACTGGAGACATTACGGCTGCATCAAGCGTTCCCGGTATCCGGCTCAAGCCGGTACAAAAAGGTCACTTGTCAGCTATAGCTGAAGTGGTATCAAGATATGCTTAAGTTGCTGGATCCCTGAGTCTGATCCGTGTTAGAGCAGTGGCAATTACCCCGCACTCTTCTACCGCCCAACAATGAAAGCTCTTGACTTGCCTCTTGCCAGAGGTCAAGATAAAGGCTGTTTGTGCTGAAACCAGAAAGGGTGTTCTGCGTTTTCCTGCTATACTACGTATAAGTAAAAGCTTTGTAGAAGGGGTTGAGGAAGTCAGTTACCTTATCCCTTTTGAATGTTCTCCTTTATTCCAACTTTGTGTTTCTCTTTTTACCTTCTTGTTAGAGAGAATAGTAGTACTGTTAGTTTTAACAAGGTAAAGTAGGTTAAACAACTAAGCATAGTATTTAGACGCCCATGTAATATCAAGACCCTAGGAGGTTTATTAACCTTTACATTCGCGCAAGTTTCTTAGGCTCCACCTCTTCGCCAAAACGTTTCCCCTCCTCATCTGGTGCGAACTCGCTAACGAGGTCTCTCAGAGATTCCTATATAGATTATTAGAAAAAAAACTGCTTAGGTTCATAACTTGATTAATCCACTTGCAAATGTGTAGACGCCTTTGCGTCCAGGCAGATAGGTTCCCTTTTCAGCGCAGCGAGGCAGTACGACAGGTCCGCCTTGGTAGTTCAGGCGGACAAACCAGGAGCTAGGTTTTATTTTGTCTGTCCTGCTGCAAGCAACTCCTTCTCTAGTGTAACGAAAGAGCTCCATTGTGATGTAGGCGGTGTAGGGAGGCCAGAACCAATCCGGGTCCTTGATGGCGCCTAGCGAGGTCAAGATCCCTGCAATTGTCGAGTCATGGCAGGCGAAGAGAAGCATTCGCTGGTCGTTTCCGACAGCACATAGCTGGTCGGTCCGATTGATTGTGATAGACATACGTTGCATGGTCTCTCGTAACATGCTCCCGACACCTAGTCGGCGGAACTCCTCACTATGGGCATATCCGGCAAACTCTTCCTCGGCGCAGATCTTCTCCATGATAGCTCGTAGATCCGGGTTGAGGAACTCCAGAGGGAGGAAGCCTTCAGGTCGAGGTGTTGCTGCCACTGCGCTTATTGTATCAAGCACGCCGTGTAACTTGAGGGGTTGGGTGTCTACTAGGACAGGAGCGCCCCCTGGCATCCAACGTCCTATCTGGGCGTTGACGAATCTCATCTCTGAAGAGCCGTTCCCTTGGCCGACGAGATCGCCCGTGTGTTAGCGTCATGACGCTGCGGAGGGGAATTGAGAAGGCGAGGGGTCCTTTGGACAACAAACATTTCATTGCGGCTCGCCTCGTGAAGTCTTTGAGTAGTTGGGCGAATCTTTCATCGTAATCCTCTGGGGGGAGGAGTGTCTCATGGCGAGGGTCTGCTATGGTGACCAAGACGTCGTCTAGGCGTCCGTCGACAAACTCTGGTGGATACAAGCCACGAAAAAGATGTTGCAGTGACACAAAAGTCCGTTGGTATTGCGTGCTCCGGAGATAGAGGTGGCTGACATGAAGCGTCCGGGGCATGAAATTCAGGCGATCGATATATAGCCGGCGGAGTTGGCGCCCAAGCTCCAGAGTGCTGGCCCGCCCTCTGTCTGTCAACTCTCCCTTGTCACTATCATCTTGTGAGCGCTGGCTGTACTAGTAAGGCCTCGAATACTTGGTTATTTCACAGACCAGTAAATGGGCCGTCTACCATCCGGCAAGAGCGGCTTATCAATCTCGTCATTGATGGGGATGGACTTTGGTCCAGAGCCATGGAAAAGGGTCCTAGGACCCTTTGCCGATATATTGAAGGGCCAGTCTGCGGCAGGAATCAAATCAGGACCTGACTTGTTTTGTTGACCCGAACAGAAACAGATCATGTCTCTTTTACCTGTCTGGTAGCCCACCTTCCAACGAGTAAGCAACGCCATCGAGAATACTCAGCACCACATCTCAAGCACTTACGTTCTCAAAACGAGTCTCGTTTGGCGTCCGCTCCCCTTTTCTCCCATATACAAAAGATCAGTAAAGACGCATCACCCATGGCTTAGGTGCCATGAACATCGTGCATACCATGACGGAAGAACTGGAATAGTTCGCGATGGTTAGTCCCTCTCGGCAGTTTGAAATACTAGATCTTTCGTGCAACAAAACGTACCACTTGGACAAGTTCTAGCTGGAGCTCAGGCGGATACATGTATGCCGAGTCTTCGACCGATGGGAGAGTCGCCATCTTCCCTTCAGGGTTGATCGGAAATGAATGCCCGGTTGTGACTTGGAACTCGCAATGCATTCAGACTCTGTCAAGTGTCCCCTTGCCTGTTCATGTTGTTTGATTACCGGGCACCCGCCTGTTATATACCTCCGGGTCTAGCCCAGCTGCGCTATTAACCCAGGGAGAAGGAGGTATGTAGTGCAGCTCGCTGACCAACCAACATAGCGGGGGACGCTTTAGCAATGTGTTGTCCAAGGACACGCTTTGAATTTAACCGGTTCATAGCTGTTTGTAATACTGTGGGTGGATGAATTCAATCCGTCACTGGCGTTGCCTCTCTTTCCGCCCTAGGAACGATTCGAGAAGCCCCCTATCTTATATACATTCTCAATAACCTCTTCTCGGGCTAATAGACCGTCATCAAACTGTTTTCTGATAGCCACCAGCCACTCTCTCTGAGTGTGTCTATCCAAGTCTGCCTGAGCGGGCCATCTGTTGATCTCAGTAAATTCGGCACATACCTAAATGTAGAAGAAGACATTTGTTTGCAGACACGGGGCTTAACTCACTCCTCCAGAAGGTGGAATATCACCCTGCGAGACCCGCCGAGCCCCTTCTCGGTCTTTTCGAAAACCTCATATCGCAAGCAAGTACTTTCGATTTCGCGAACCTTGGCAGCTAGGTGGAGCAGAACTTTACGAAGCTGGGCACGCCATTAGACCGATCGCACAGGTACGGCACTTCCTCGTCTAGAGTTAAGTGGTTCAGTCTTTAGAAAGTTGCATACCTCGCTCTCTCTACCACTGGCAGGGTGCAAAGTGCACCATAAAGTCACCACTTGCGTGGACATCTCGGAGCAGAGTGATAATTGTGATTGCGATTGGGTCCTTAGTTGGCACGACAAAATGGTCCACCTAGGTGGCAGCTTCTGACTCAATAAATATCCCCGTTCATCACCCTGTCTTCCAGTCCAATCAAGTACATCTCATCTAATCGACTACCAGGAAAGTTACTCGCGGTATGCGTCGGACAAACGTTGCTAGTCATCCTAAAATCAGTTCCGCGTTTCTACGCCTGTCGACTGTAACCTAGAGGGTTGGATCGAAACCCCGCACTGGACGTTTGCCAACGCATATTCGTATCGAATTAGACATCCACTATCAGCTCTCGCTCATACCGTAGGCGAGTACTGTGCTGTGCTATAGGTGGGTCGACAACATATACCGAGTAGCAAGGCTAAGTATTATACCCCTATCATGTTACCCACCTACACACCCGGTGATGGGTGATGGATAGGAGGGGGATTTCACTAACAGCTGGGCTGGCTAGGCAGGTCAGTAGAAGTACCGTAATGTTGGCTAAACCCAAAACAGTACAGGGGTGAGCATCAAAATACCTAACAGGGGTATATAACTTCAGCCCAATAGCAAAGTAGTTCACCAGGGATTCTTGCTTAACTACTGCAGAAAGTTTGGCCGGGATAGACGCTGCTAACTAAGCCTTGCCGCGTCGATACGTGTCGATGTGATGCTACCACTACTCGGTTTAGAACAGTCAGTATATAAGACAATGTTGGTTGGGGATGGATCCAAGTGGTCAACCTTCTCATTTCAGGCAACTGACTCACACTGAGCACCGTCAATACACACCCGCGTCAGCGACGATGGACATCGAGACTCTCATCAAGAACGCCCCATTCAGGCTATCTGACGAGGACATCAGGGTCTTGCGTGGCCGGTCCGATAAGCCTGGGCCTCACACCTGGGAGGAGATAAAGTCCGTGATCGGTGAGTCGCTTCAACCTGAGCATGTTCGACCAGGGCCCTCGCTGATTATGCTCTCAATGTCTTGACATAGCTGCCGGCGAGATGGGACAGCTCAGAAGATCGCCTCAAGATTTACGTAACTATATTGTGTGGCACGCCGAGATTCGGAAAACCCATGGGTCTGTGCTCGAATATGTTCGCCGTGAAAAGCTACGTTGGCCAAAGCATATCACTCCCTGTGATGATTTACCCTTCAGCCATACCAACGACTGGAAGGTCATCTGGAATGATTGGCCATATGATGTAGCTGATGGAATCATGCACTTGGTTGTATGGTCCAAATGTAGAATAGAAGTGACCGCTGACTCGGGACTACCGACAGAGCGTATGAAACACCTTATTGATAGCTTTCTAGACAGGGAATTTGGAGAGACCTTGGGCTGTCGTAGGGGCCAAGACTTACTATGGTTCAAGCAAAAGACAGCGTGGCAGAGCGTGAGAGGCTTGGAACATATACATGTCCTGTTACTTAACGTTTCGCGAGAACGCGTGGAGAAATTGGTTGGCCAGCAACAGTCTCAGACGCTTCGAGTACTTTGGACCAGGGATGTAGCGAGCACAGAGACCCAATTCAGTGCAAAGATGAGCTGAATGAACTATTAGGTCAATAAATGAAAGGGATATTTGTATTATCTCTCCGTCGGTCTATCTCATAGGCGACCAATCCTGTGCGAAAGATGTATCACATGATGAGTCAAAGCCGTGCTTCCTCTCCACGCTCGAAGAAAGCTCGAACTAAGGAGATGACCCTGCTTTGGTCCTCTTCGCTCAGCTCAAAGTAAATAGGTAGGCGCACAAGCTGAAGGCTTGAAAGTGACGTGTACACATCCTCTCCAACGAACCTCCCTATTCTCTTCCCTATTGGAGACTTGTGCAGTGGGGAGTAGTGGGCGGTGGCCGACACTCCGTGCTCTCTCATGAACTGCACGAACATCGGCCGACGGGAGGCTTCCCGCAACTTCAGGTAGAATATGTGTCCGTTTTGCTCGCAGTCTCTCGGTATGGTTTGCAGGTCGAACCAACCATAACAGTCCGAGAGTGGCTGGAGTGAGGTTTGATATCTGTTCCAGATTCTGAGCCTGGTTTGTTGAATATCCTGCGCCATCTCGAGATGTGACCACAAAAGAGCAGCAAGAACTTCGGACATTATATAATTCGATCCAACGTCTTGCCACTCGTAAACTGGCAGCTTCCCTCGAAGGAACTGGACCCTGTTTGTGCCGTTGTCGTAAACCACTTCGGCCCTGTCGACCAACTCATCTCGGTTGACCAAAATGGCACCTCCCTGGCCACCGGACGTGAAGTTCTTCGTCTCGTGGAAGCTGATACAGCCGATGTGGCCGACGGTGCCGGAATATGTACCGCGATACTTTGAAGTGAGGCTTTGCGCTGCGTCTTCGACAACCACGAGATAGTGACGAGACGCAATCCTCATCAACCCGTCCATATTGCACGAGACACCGGCGTAGTGGACGGGCACGATAGCCCGCGTTCTTTCGGTGATGGCCGCCTCGACCAGGTCCACGTTGAGGTTCATCGTGTCCTTTTCGATGTCGACGAACACAGGCGTGGCACCCCTCGCCACGAAGGCGTTGACTGTGGAGACGAATGTGTAGCTGGGGAACACTACTTCGTCGCCCGGTCGGATGTCGATTATCATGGCGGCCATCTCGAGGGCCGTTGTTCCGGAAGTGACCAGGAAAGCTTTACCCTCTGGCATCATCTCCCGCAGCCAGTCTTCGCATTTTTGGGTATACGGCCCTTGAGCCAGTTTCCCACTGTTGAGGACATCCTCAACATACCGTAACGCCTTGGGCGGTGTGAAGGGTTTCGAGTATGGAATCATATGTGTATGACTGGACATGTTACAATTTCATTCACTAGTCTTCATTTAGGAGTATGAAAGGGGCAGAATTATAAGTTCAAGACAGAAACGATTAGCAACCTGCCCAGATGTTCTTTTGAAGAAGAATATTTACGGGTCAAGCACACCCATCAGTTCGGCTGTCAAACACACTCGTCCCTCCAAGCTCAACGGCCCGCTGACGCAAGACCAAGCTTCCGTTGCATGCATACAAGAACTTGCAAAAACCGAGATGAGTTTGGTCATTAAATGCCGCAAGTATCTCCACCGATTAACCTGCTTCCTCACATATTGTCCCGCGGGCAATGAGAAGGAGACTTCCTACTCTAGATGGTAGACAATGAGCAGTCCTTATGCCAGATTTGAGTTTTGGAATGTATGCATAATGTAGTAGCGTTTCGACTGCGAGTCGACTTCACATCCCCAAGTGAGGGGTAACGCCAACGAGGAACTGTTAGTTATCTACCCTAGTAAAACCTGCATACGAAGTACACCCCTCTCCGTCAGAGGTTTTAGCTGTACCACGAGTACTTGCAGTTTCCACTGCATAAAATGGTATTTTATAATCCACGCAGGCTTGTAATAAGATAGGTAGTCTTGAAGGCTGGTAAATAAAGTACTGTTACTGGATGGATTCCTTGGAATGAGGGGAAGATGTGGGTATAGATTGGCCGGGGGGACGAGAGGTCCACACAGTCTGGATGGGATATATATATTGTATACGCAAATGTTAATTAAAGTTTGTTCGTCCCTTTCTATAGGAAAGGGGTGTATTTAACACCTCGTCGTCTTTGTTTAACCATTGACTAGTCAGAGCTAAGTCAAGTAGCTTACTTCTTGGCCACCGGCCAATCGAGGGGACATTTATACAATGTATAATGTTATAATGTATAATCCTGGCCTATATACAGAGATGGCTTAGAGGTGAGGGTTACTTAACATGGTCCCTATCCGTATATTGGTGCGTATACAGAGTAGGAGGAAACTAAACCCAAGGCAATATTGTTTTTAATTGATTGAAAACCGGTTACGTCATTGTCCAAATCTTTCTTGCCAGCCTCGTTCGGACATCTCTTATCAAAATGATTATCAGCATGATAGTACTGCAAGGCCTGCTCAATCTGGTGTCAGTCACGGCCACCGCACTAGGTGCTCACTCATACGGAAGCAAAATTTCCAAGCGTGGTCTCTACATCAGGGAACAGACGACTTCAAGCGACTTTGCCCCAAAAGGGCCAGTCATCGATCTGGGCTATGCTCGTTACGAGGGCTACTACGATTCATCATTTGATATCTTCACTTTTAGGGGGCAAGTCGACAGCTCTGACAGGAAGTAACCTGGGTCCGTAATTCCCGGTGTTGGGCGCTAACCATCACCGTGTCTTGTAGATTACGTTATGCTTCGAAGCCTAATCGCTGGCAGCTCCCGAAGAGGCCAAATCGGGGCCCGGGAAGTGAAAAGGTCCTAAAGGCGACTGCAAATCCACCAAGATGTCCCCAGTCACCATTTAGTCCAATGCGAGTAAACTTCTCTCTTTGTCAAAACCCCTGCAGGCGCTTACAGGCTACAGCATCGAGGACTACTCTTTCGAGAGAGATGCCCTAGGTGATGAAGATTGCCTGTTTCTGAACTTGTTCACCCCAGCGAACAAGACGCAGCTGCCGGTGCTCTTCTGGATCCGTAAGTCACGCTCAATCCATGCTTCTAGCTACACACGGTCGAGTCCGGGGAATAACCAGGAGCCATACAGATGGTGGTGGATATGGGCAGGACTGGGCCGCAAACTATGATTTTTCGAACATGGCCAAGACGGTAGGAAACGGTTTCGTGACGGTTATCATCCAGTACCGGCTCGGTGCTTTTGGGTTTGCTTCTTCTGCCGAGATAGGCCATTTCGGCATACCCAACGCGGGGGTCCACGATATGCGTTTTGCGCTCGAATGGGTGCGGGACTATATCCACCTGTTCGGAGGCGACCCTACACGCGTCACCATTGCCGGAGAATCTGCTGGCGGCGGCGGTGTCATGCTTATGACGATGGCGAACAATGGCTCCGAGGGAACCTCACTCTTCCAACGCGCCATTGTCTCAAGTCCGTATCTGCCGACTCAATGGTGAGCAGCTCTGGTGGCGTCACCCACTGAGTGGAGTGGCATTTGATAGATTGACCACTCAACTGCAGGAGATATGATGATATGCAGCCTTCTCAAGCATACTACGACTTGGCCGCCCGTGCCGGCTGCCTTGGACCCGGGACCACGCAGAACCGAAGCGTCTTTGGCTGCTTGCAAAGTGTGGACAGCGCCGTTCTGCAAAACGCGAGCGCCTTCGTAAGCATGGGGGCGAGATGGGGCCAGTGGGCTTTCTTGCCCGTTACGGATGATAGACTCATTATCCAACGGCCGACGAAACAGCTCCTGCAAGCCAGAGTAAACGGCGTGGCGATTCTCTCTGGAGTAAGTCTGTCGCTGAGTCTAGATGTGAAGATGAACCTATTACTAAGTGCGATTGGTGCAGAACAATGCCAACGAAGGCACGTTGTTTGTCCCGACGGACGTGCGTACCGAGGACGACTTCTTGGCCAGAACACGGCTCGACTACCCACTGTTAAGTGAAGAGAACATGACCGCCATCATGAGCTTTTACAAAATCGAGGAGCACGCGCCTTCAGGGCCCCTCTACAGCACTGACGGCGTAAACCCTCCATTCGCGACGAGCCTCTCGGGAGTGGCGTCGGGCTGGCTACAAGCAGCTTACAATCTTTACGCCGAAGCCACGTTTGTGTGTCCTGCCATGTTCCTTGCGGACGCGTTTTCTAGCGGCGGAGACTCTTCAACCAACGTTACAAAGCGAGCGTGGCGTTACCAGTATTCGCCCCCACCTGCTTTCCACGATGACGATCTCGATGTTCTCATGAAACCCGTGCTAGACAAAAACGATAACGATGGCGCCAAAGAGAGTGTCGGCTTCAGAATCGCGTTCCAGAGCATGTGGGGGCGGTTTATCATCAACGGAGATCCCACGCTGGATGAAAATACCGTAGCGAGTGCGAAACAGATGGGCGACGATGTTTCTGCCGCAAAAAAGTCAACGTGGCTGCCGTGGGGTTTGAGAAGCTCGTCCCTGAACCACTCGACGCATTCAATGCTGAACCTGAACATGACACGTCCCGAAGGAGGAGTGGCCGACTTTCAAACCGTCGACGGATTCACCTGGGAGGGAGGAAGAGGCGACAGGTGCAAGCTCTGGGCAGACCTGGGCCCCTGGGCTCCGGCATAGTGGTCAGCACCGAGAAGATCGACTGGTTGGAAGGTGAACTCTTTCAACAAAAGAGAGTAGGGAATGACGACAGCCAGCACAGCAAGCCTTCGTAGCCAATGCATTACTGTCTTCGCGACTAGAAGTAGCGTCTTGCCTCATACATGCAACGCAAACTTGTATATACGTGAACAAATACACGTCTTGGAGGCCACCGCAGCAACCAGAATTCGCAGCCTAGCTGATGTTGAGATGATAATACGTCGTAACGGTCTTCTTCCATTGGCAGCGTTTCCGATGCCATGTCAGTAATTATGGAAAGAAATGGTGCAACCTGCGTCAGTACGCGTGTTCATCAAAGATTCTGGTCGAATGCAGCAAAAAGACGCATGGCGAGATGACTAGCCAACGCCACGGGGATGGTGGTAAAACTCTCAATAATAGCTCGCTAGGTATTCGGGTGGTCCCAACCTGACTACGTCCTCGGCACCTCCTTAACGACACGGGCCGGGTTTCCGGCGACCACGACAAAGTCTGGAACGTCCTTGGTCACGACGCTGCCCGCCCCAACAGTGACGCCTCTACCTATGGTGACGCCGGGGAGTACAATGCAGTTGCCCCCGAACCAACAGTCGGCACCGATCTTGATGGGCTTCCCGTACTCGGGACCTGCGGTGCCGTTGCGCAAGACGGGGTCCAGCGGATGCGCCGCGCTGTAGAAGGAACAGTTGGGGCCGATGAGGGTGCGGTCACCCACCTCGATCGTGCACGTGTCAATCCACACGCTGTTGAAGTTGATGTAGACATTCTTCCCTAACCTAAATTGCCGTGCGTCTCGACAGTGAGTGAGAGCCAACAGACAACAGGAGGCTCGCGCGCTCTCGCTTACTTGACGTTGTACCCATAGTCCATTCTTACAGGTCCATCAATCCAAGGCTCGTTGGCCAAGCTCTGCTCGTCCTCTTCCGGGATAGGGGCTGGTACAGGAAGGGGACGATCGTCCTTCAGGATGCTGAGTGCAAAGACGGTCAGCTATGGGCACCTAAGGCCAGGGTTTGTAGGGCCAGAATACTCCTTCACTAGTAGTGCGAGAGCTCTCCGGGAGACGTCGCCAGCGCGGTTGAATCTCTCGCAGGCAGTAGAGCACCGACGCCGGTCGGCGGTGAGGTCCGGAGTGAAGGCGTGGTACAGCTCTCCAGCGGCCATACGGGCCCTGTTCTGCTCAAGGTGCAGTGCCTTTTCTGTCATTGTCACCTGTGAATAACCGGCCCGACGGCTATAAGCAACACCAGGCAAGAGGAGGCTTTCTTTCTAAGGCTAGCGAGTTAAAGGCTAGCGAAGTAGAGAAGCAACTGCTTTACTGTGTTGCACGAGGCTCATTCAGGATTTTGGTGTAATGAGCGTGGATCTAGTCAACTACTATAGGCCAGCCTAGTTTGTATATATAAATATATGTATATACATATATATATACATTTGTCTATATCCGTGGAAACCTAGAATATGTATACGGCCGAAGTTATATACCCCTGTTAGGTATCTAATACTCACTCCCCTACTACGGGATTTCTCTGGAGGTAAAAACCATCCCTCTATGATGTCGGATATGGGGGCTGGCATCATATGGGTGAAAAGATTACCCCTGCCTGTACTCCGTAGTTATGGTACAACTTCAGAACCCTAGTTTAACTTACCCCTACATCTCAGGTTAGGATCCAAGTCATAGCCACAATATAAGGTTCGGGTTTCTGGAGTGGAAGTAACAGCTATGATGCCGACTATACCGGGCAGCACCACACAGGGAGGTTACCAAAATGCGCCGAGAAATTACCCGCTAATACTTCCCACTTAACTTGGTCCTGTGGCCCTGTTAACCTACACATCATGAATACGAGAGGATCGGCGAGTGGAGAATATATGGTCGCAGTCTAGAATAATCGGACGAGACGCCCCGCAGCTAATGGATGGATGGATACCGGCATCTCGATTGAGTGTAACCCAAATGCGGGATTATTCTTTATACACGCCTTCAGCCAATGATAGACTCTGTCAGTTAGGGTTAAGGTTTTCCCTCCCTCGTTACCATCAAACGGGCCGTTCCTAACTGGGAAGCATCCGTTATTATGTAGCAATCAAGGACTGACTTGGCTCCTCCGAGTCGTGGCACAAGCGGGGCGCGTAAAGGCTATAACTGCAACCAATCTTGTATTGTCTTCGATCCTGCACTTGATGCTCGGCAATCAGAAAACGACCACCCACGGCACGGAGTATCATCGCCTTCAACAATGTCGAGCCCACCGAGTCCGAGCATCGCATACCAGACGACAATCTCGGATGAGCCAATCAGCATGATGGTGGAGAAGACGGCAGGTTCCCCGCCTGCTACTGCTACTACTACTGCTGCTGCTGCTGTTACTACCATGCAGACGGCCTCACGAGAAAGATGGAATCATCCCCGCTCCAATGTCTTCCGCGTGACGGCCTCGTTCTGGAGCCTTCTAAACTTGGGCATCTTTGATGCGGCATATGGAGTACGTCTTGACAAGCCTCGTGGCCATTGGCCATCATACACTCACTCTTCCAGCCCAAACCCCCGTCACTTACTAGTAAATCTAACGTGGCTCGGGCTGAGAGAGGCACGATTACCAATCACCAGGCTAACTTTGACGCGCTTCCCGCTTCCCCCCCTCAAAATTAGGCAATGCTTCCCTATGTGAGTTGATCCATGATCAGTGGGAGAACCCACATGGGCCGTGTCCGGACAGTTCCCCATCCTAACAAGGCCTCGGTCATCTAGCTTCAGTCGTTCTACGGCATAAACTACACCGCCGTATCCCTGGTGTTCCTTTCACCATTGATTGGCTACGTCTTCTCGGGAATCCTCAACACCAGACTCCATAACACCCTTGGTCAACGAGGCCTGGGCGTTCTGTGCGGCGGCGCCCATTTGCTGTCGGCCATCATCAACGTGCTGCACCCCCCATTCCCCGTACTCGTCGTCTCCTTCATGCTTGGGGGCCTCGGGAACGGCCTGTCCGATGCGGCGTGGAATGCTTGGATAGGTAATCTGGACCGGTCCAACGAGCTTCTCGGCTTCCTTCACGCCGCTTACGGCCTGGGGGGGCTTGTCAGTCCTCTGATCGCCACCGCCATCATCACCCGCGCCAAACTGCCGTGGTATACGTTCTACTACGTCGTCGTACGTCTTTGCCTCTCTCTCACCCGACGACTACTCTCAATGGTCACTGAACAGAACAACTTCCCAGATAGGCGTATCCGTCGTTGAAATCCTCGCTCTGACTACGGCCTTCCGGAACCACACCGGGCGTCGCTACCGGGAGCTGATGGCTTGCTCGCCAGGAGCCCACGAGAGTTCTGCCAGCATACGCAGCGTCTTGACGACCCAACCTGAAGCACGCATCGCTTGGCTCTCGGCCTTGTTTGTGCTGATCTATATCGGCGTCGAGGTCTCCCTGGGTGGCTGGGTCGTTGAGTTTCTGCTCAGGATCCGCAACGGCGACGACTTCGCTAGTGGCATGGGTGCCACTGGTTATTGGCTCGGCATCACTCTTGGCCGCATCTTGTTGCCGTTCGTGACCAATATCATAGGTCTCAGGATGGCGGTGGCCGTAAGTCCTTTCGAAAAAGCCACTCCCCAAAGATTGCATCCAGCGTCTCCTCTCAGCCCAGTCCCGCTCTCTCTCAAGATGGTCTTTATCCCCCTGCCGGGCTTGGCTAACCTGTTTTTCCTTTCCAAAGGCGTACCTCGCGATGGCGATGGTAATGGAGCTGATCTTTTGGTTGGTACCCCACTTCTACGCGTCCATCATAGCCGTCGGCGTCCAGGGGTTCTTCATCGGCCCCATGTTTCCGCATGCCGTCTCTGCCATCACCAGCCTATTGCCTCAACATCTACATGTTGTCGTGATTGGATTCGTAGCAGCCCTGGGGGGTTGCGGGGCTTCTCTGCTACCCTTTGCCCTCGGAGCCCTGGCACAACGTTTTAGTGTAACTGCTCTGCAACCTTTCGTTCTCACCTGCTTGGGTGTTTCGTTGGTCATCTGGTTGTTCATACCTCATGCAAAGAAGAGGAGATGCTCAAGGTGATTATCAAAAGGCGGTGAGGGTGGGTGAGGTCTTGCATTGTGAAAAACAGATACTATTCCAAGATGATAATCAGCAAGTGGGCCAGGTGAATTTCACTTCTGCTCATTGACATCATGGGCCATCAGGCCGAATTATGTTGAGTGTTCTTATGCGCCACCCCTACTTTTTTGGCTACAACCAACGTTACGGTACCTTTCTACCAGCCGGCCAGTCGTTGACTTGCACTTCTATCCTTCCTCAAGTTAAAAGCCATTGCCAGCCTGACTGCTATATGAAACAATTGCTAGATATCAACTATGTACGTATACGCGCCCTCTATTTTAATGGTGGAATCCATAGGCAAGAAATTGTCAATCGGACCAGATTGACATGTGGTTAGGAGATACAATATAACAGTCAGGCAATCTGCTGCTTCTGTCACCCAGTCCGCTGCATTGCCAAGGGACATAACATGAGGCATATAACTATACCTACTGTACCTAGCCCGAGAGACGAGTGTTTTCATAACACGTAACAAAATGACGTTGTTAATCACTAAATAACGCCTAAATAAACCCGTATCGTATGGTGACAGTTTACATGACTAGACCCCCTGAAAGAAAGGAAAGTTTATTGTAGTGGCTGGCACGGCGTGTGGGACGAATTGAATGAATGATACATCGGACTCCCATGGCGTCCACTTCTCATAGCCTGGCCTTCTGCAGGTTGAATTCCGGCAAGGTGAGAAACCAATCAACAGTCTTTTCCAGCCCTTCTCTGAGATCAATCTTGGCTTCATGGCCAAGCTCGCGTCTCGCCTTGCTCGCATCTGGAACTCTTCTGTATGGGTCATCGTCAGGCTTCGGCCCATATATAATCCGCACTTGTGGGCGACCAGTCTGCCTAGCGACGATCTCGTTGATCAACCGCGCCATCTCCCCGATGCTGGTCTCGTCTTCGCGCCCTATGTTGACGGGGTCCAGGACAGAACTCTCCATCAGCTTGTAAAGACCCATGGCGCAGTCTTCGACATACTGGAAGCAGCGGCTTGCGGTCCCGTCGCCTGTAATTGTTATGTTTTTCCCCTTGAGCGCGGCGGCTGTGAAGTTGGGAACCACGCGGCCGTCGTCGGGCCTGATACCGGGACCATAGGCGTTGAAAATACGCCCTATTCGGACGTCGACCTTGTGCTCAAGGCGATAGCCGTAGGCAAGGGCCTCCGCCACCCGCTTACCCTCGTCGTAGCAAGATCGCCCACCGAACGGGTTGACATTGCCCCAATACTCTTCAGTCTGTGGACAGACGAGCGGATCACCGTAGACCTCTGCGACGATTAGTTAGCCTCGGATGTTAGATGTTTATCAGCGAGTGTTCGCTTACCCGAAGTACTAGCAAGCAAGACACGCGCCCCGGTTCTGGATGCTAGCTCGAGGACATTCTTGGTTCCCATGTAGCAAGTCTCCAAGATCCCAAGGGGTGCCTCTGGGAATTTCTTGGGGCTTGCCGGGCATGCGAGATTGTAGATGCGATCAGCCCTCTCCAGGCTCTTGGGGAATGGCTTAGTGACGTTGTGGCTACACCAAAGGCATTGTTAAGCGTCATGTGTAGCAGGTACGCCAGGGCCAAAAGATGGACGGTTCTGATACGCACCGAAGAAAGGTAAATTTGGGATGCTTCCTTAGTCTGGAAACGTTCTCAGCCGATCCGGTCCAAAGGGAATCGACCGCAATGACGTGGTAACCCTCTTTGAGCAACAGGGCTACGAGGTGCGAGCCCAGGAATCCAGCCCCCTACAGCAAACAAAAGCTTCAGGATATGGTCATGAAAGGTTCCAAAATGCACTGAAACTTACACCAGTGACGACAGCAGTAGGCATCTTAGCAGTCTTTGCGATTTAAGCCTTGTTTTGAAGCGTAATAGATGTTTTTTCTGCCGGTAAGATATGGGAGCTGGTAAACGGGAAAGCCGTCTGATGTTATAACCGTGAAAGCATTTTTGACTCACAGCCTATGCAGGGCGCGAAGCCCCTATGCCCTAGGCAGAGTCGTTCCATCGTCTGCATGTCGCTCGATGACTCCCTTGTCCAGGATGCAACGGCAATACGTCTTGCAGACGGACATGCCCGGGCCAATCCCACTCGTGCTGCTCTATTATCCATGTACGCTTGTCATGTTACGAGAACCATGAGCGGCGATTGATATGATGCGGGGTTGGTCGCGATGGAAACCAAGGCTCCACGATGGCTGCATCGACGAAGTAACACATCAAATCAGGTTAGCAGAGGCATCATGTCCAGGATGTCACAAACAAGCCAGCTCATGGCCAACTTTAATAGCCGGACAAGAACCCGCGGGCATACCGCCTCTGTCGACTGACAAGCTAACATTGGAGTCCACGAGCCCAAGAGAGCTCCCCGTTTTCAGTTATTCAGATTTTCACTATGAGCTTGTCACAAAAGAAGAAGACGATTGCGTGTATTGGGGCCGGCTACGTGGTAAGACTCCATCTTGGTGACTGAGCCGGGATGAACCCATATTCTGCTTTCCAGATAGGCTGACGGTGTCTGCCGCGCAGGGTGGCCCAACCAGTGCCGTACTTGCGCTCCAGATTCCCGAGATCGACGTTTACGTCTTGGACAAAAGCGAATCGCGAGTCGCGTCATGGAACTCTGAACGGCTACCCATCAGCGAGCCCGGGCTATACGATGTAGTCCGGGCGACCCGGGAACGGCCTAAATCGAACCTCTTCTTTTCAACTGATATAGGAGGTGTGATTCCCAAGGCAGACATCATCTTCATCTGTGTTGAAACCCCTTCCATACTGGAGCGGGGTGGCGACGACGTTGCCGGGGCGGCGCCAGATCTCACAAGCTTCAACGTCGCAGTCCAACGCATAGGAAGCCTGGTTACAAAGAACGCCATCGTGGTCAACAAGAGCACCGTCCCGTGTGGATCGGCCGAAGAGACTGCGCAGCTGCTTCAGTCACGGATGTGTCCCGGCATCAAGTGCGAGGTCCTCTCGAACCCGGAGTTCTTGGCCGAGGGCACTGCTGTTGATAATCTGCTAAACCCAGACCGCGTCTTGATTGGGTGCTCCTCATCAAAGGCTGGCAAAGACGCTGCTGCTGTCTTGGGTGGACTGTACGCCAGATGGGTGCCGCGGGAGCGCATCGTGACCATGGACACCCGCTCCAGTGAGCTGGCCAAACTTGCTGCCAACATGTTCCTATCTCAGAGGATCAGCAGCATCAACGCCCTGAGCGCCATGTGCGATGAGCTTGGCGCAGACATCACCCAGGTCTCGCGTGCGTGTGGTCTGGACCAGCGCATCGGTCCTCATATGCTTCGGGCATCCATCGGATTCGGCGGCAGCTGCTTTCAGAAAGATGTGCTACATCTCGTCCACACCGCAAAGAGCCTCGCGCTCGACGAGGTTGCCGGGTACCTTGGCAGCATCGTGAGCCTGAACAGACACCAGACCGAGCGTTTGGCGAGAAGAATGCTTCAACGCGGCGCCAGCGGTGCGGGACTCGAGACCGTGGCGGTTCTCGGGTTTGCTTTCAAGCCAAACACCGGCGACACCCGCAATTCACCGTCCATCTCGTTCGTCCGGAGCCTGATTCTTAATGGCGTATTTGTCAAGGTGTTTGATCCTATTGTGCCCAAGTCGATCATCTTGGGCGACGTCAAGTCCAGCCTCTATGGCCTGGCCTTTATAGCCGATTCTCGTATAGCTGTGAGCGAATCCCCCTACGAAGCATGCGGCGGTGCAAACGCGGTTGCGATATTAAACCCTTGGGATGCTCTGCAATACGACGTCGATCAGGGTGCTTCAGGCAAGTCGCATTGCAAGGCCCTGTTCCACGAGTCTCTGTTAACGGACCAATATTAGCAAACATCCAAACAGAGAAAGACACCGCCGGGAGAGTCCGGTGGGAGAATATTGCACGTTCAATGAAGCATCCCAAGCTTTTGTTTGACGGTCACAACTTTCTCAACCAGCAAATAACGTCGCTAGGCTTTCAACTTGAACGCGTTGGTCGATTGTCACCGGCTAGGGCCACACGTCTTCGGAATACTTCTTTGACCAGGTTTTTGCCTCGGGCATCCCTTTAGTCTCCTAAGAGGATTTGCATCATCAGTAACGAATTGGTTATATCGCCCCCTACTTAATTTGCTCTACCTATGTTCTTTTTTATAATCAAGTCCTATCTATCTTCGGATCACTTAAAGCCTTATCGAAGTAGGTGGAAACGGTAAATAGGAAAAATATCGATTGTACTCGGACTGCAGAGAAGAGCTGCTTCGCCCTCCCGAAGCCGTAGCGATCGTAGATAAGTGATGTGAGGCGTTTCCTAACAAACTAGTTGTCAGCTCCTGGATAAGCATTTTGATAGCCCGGGTCAGTTGGAGGGAAAGACCAATCTGATGTTGACTTTAAGGTATTCACTTGAGGACACTGATCCTATTGCGGCTGACTATCTCCTTAAGACTACTTCTTAAGTATTGCACCGGCTGAATGACACCTGCGACAGGGCCCCCCTGATAACTGTAAGGGTTGGACACCAATCATGATTTACGTAGGCGACGATATACTCCTTAGGAAGGAAAGCCTGTGTTGGGATAGAGATCTGTTCAAGCGGGCATTTGGATACGGCGATAACCGTGCGCTACGGCAAATGACGGATGCATATACAACCGGATTTCGCTAGCTAAAACAGCGAAATCCGATGGCATATACATTGTACCCCTTAACGTAAAATCCTGCGTAAGTGTTGAAGTACTATACGGCAAGGGGTAGAAATGCATGTGCTATTGGATTTTGCTGTCTTAGGTAGCAAAACCTGATTATAAAATAAACCTAATATTTAGAATAGTGTATATACCCCCTACTATAATTATATACTTACTATAATATACTCTGTTAAAGTAAGGTTACAATTAGTTACACTAACAGATAGGTTAATATAGTTAACTATATATATTAGTAGTAATTAATAAATAATAAAGATAAATATAGTCTTTATTATATATAAAGAAAAAGAGAATAATTATTATAGGTTACTTAATTAAATAACTAACTTATTACTTATAAATTCTTAGTAGATCTATAACTAATTATCTAAGAGTTTACTAGTAATTAGTTATTAGAGTTAATCTAATAACTCTAATATTTATGCAAAATAGTTAATATTATAATAAATACCTTTTTTAACCTCTTGTTAGGTCTATAAATTCTCTTTTAAATATATAAGTAGCTATTTTATTAAGTTATCTATTAAATTAACTAGTATATAATCTATAAGAGTATACTACTTAATCTTATTATATTACCTAGACTATTCTTTAATAGTCTTTTTTTATATAGTTAGTTTTACTATTATAAATAGCTTTAGTCTTAATATATATATATAGTAAGTAGATAATTATAGTAAGTAAACTAGTTTCTTTTCTTTTTACTTTTTTAATCTTTACACTAATATATATATATAGTAAGTAGCCTATTATAGTAAGTAGCCTACTTCCTCTTACTTTCTACCTCTTTAACCTTTACACTAATATTCTACTATATATAAACATATAATCCTCTTTAATTAAAAGCTATATTATCCTTATTATCTAAGCTATTAAAAAAGACCTAAAAATGTCTATATAAAAGGCAGCTACTATCTTTAAGGTCCTTTAAAGTTTACCTTATTACTAATACACTAGATATATTATATAAGATAAGATATATTTAAAATTAATAAAGATAATAAAAGTAAAAGAAAAAGTAATTATTAAGAAGGTTATTAACTTAATTAATTAAGGGTTTCCTCTATAATAAGAAGATATATAAGATATAGCTAACTAACTTCTAAATAAATATAATATAATATATATTAGACCTTAATAAGTAAAGTACTTTATATAATAATAACTATAATTAAAAATATAGTTTTAATATTAAATTAACTATTAAAGGGCCTTAGCTAAAGATTTTATAATTATATAAGGCTAGTTTATACTTATATAAAATATAATTATAAAGTATAAGATATAGAATTATAATATCTATAATTTTAATAAGACTAGGTTTTTAATAAAAAACTATTATATATAAAGGTTATTATAACTTTTAACTAATATAAAAGGCCTTATATAAAGTAGCCTAGTAATTATAAATAAATTTTAATTATTTAAAGTAAATATATAATAGCTAAGTAATACCTCTATATATTATTATAAAAGGTAAATATTACCTTTTTTCTTAGTACTAAAATAGCTAATTCTTAGCTAATTAGTATATTTACTTAAGTAAAAGAAATAAATAATAAATAAAATTAGCTTAAACTAAGTAAATTATTTTAACTACTATATAAAGTCTTATATAAAGAGTACTTATTACCTTTTAATCTTAAATAGCTATAATAGCTATAAATTAACTAAATTTAATAACTACTATAAAAAAAAGGATTATTACTTTATATATATCTTTTTACTTATTATATAAGCTTTAGCCTCTTAATATTAGCTATTTTAGCCTTTTAAAGTACTTCTATAGTATAAAGATTAAAAACAAATATAAATATAAATTATATATATTACTAAAGATAACTTCTTTTTTATCTTTAAAGTAGTATTCTTTACTTTAATATATAAAATTAATATATAATTAGGTTTCTAGTAAAATAGTCTTATACTTTTTAATCTTAAAGTTATTATTTTTTACCTAGATTTTAAGCTAAAGATACTAACACTAGTAAACTTATATCTAACTAGCTTAGGCTTATAGGACTTAAAGATATTAATAATAGTAATTAAAGGTATATAAAGCTTTACTTTATTAAAAAAAAGGATTAAGGAGTATTAAGGAAGTTTACTAACACTAATATATAAAGTAATTAACTTATAGTTAAAAAGTATTAGTAAGTTAGTATATTAACTTACTATTATTATAGTAAAGAACTATAGACTTTATATAAGAATAAAGGTACTTAGTAAACACTAAAGAAGTTAAAAGACTTAACTATATCTTAAAAGGTTACTTAATATAACTAAAGTAAAAGTATTATAAAGAGAAAAGGAAGGTATTAAAGCTAGAAGTAAAGAAATATCCTAAAAAAAGGTTATATAAAGGGTAATAAACTATATATATAATAATATAGTAATTATAAAAAGACTAAATATAGTATATAAACCTATAAGATAGTTTAAAATAGTAATAAAGAAGATAGTAATAAGTAGTTTTAATTAATTTTATATATTATAGCTTAATTAACTTATAGAAAAAGTAGAAAAATAATAAAAAGTAAGCTACTTACTATAATAGGCTACTTACTATATATATATATTAATATTTCTTTATATATAAATATATAATCCTCTTTAATTAAAAACTATATTATGTTTACTTTTTAAGCTATTA